CTGGAAGCGAGGTGATAATTTAAACCACTTTGTGGCTGGACAAGACAAGTGAGGAAAACTTGGTGGAACAACTTTGTGAAGGTCTGACTTTCACACGAGCTCGAGCAGGAAACGTTCCAAACTTGGGACTTAAATCCTCACTAATCTTTATGGCCTGGTGGCAGAATGCAAAATACCAGGGCTCTGCTCTGGAGCTGTGAGCCAGCGTTCCTGCAGCACTGAGATAGCCCAAATTCAGGTGTTAAATGAACTGGAGATTGTGGAGTGTGGAGGCAAGTTATGCCAGCACAGCTCAGCTTTGAGTTGTCCATGTGGTTGTGTTTATTAGCAGTTGTGGACAGCATTCTGCTTCTTCCTTCGCTTCCTTCACTTCTTATTTTTAAAATCTTAGGACTGCACAAGAACGTCAAGTCTCTGGCTGTTTAAAGGACCATGTGACTGCTCTGTACTTTGAACTCAGATAAACTTCTTACTGAATGAAGTCATGTGTAAAATGCTTTCCAGCAGAGATTATTTTGAACTAAGCTGTGCTAAGAAATGCAACAGAATTTCAACACTCATGTTTAGCAGGGAAAAAAAAAAAAAAAGAGAACCAACCATTCTTGTACTGAGTGCAGAGCTTTGGGGGGAAGCACCAGATCCCCTCACTTAAACAGAACTACATTTGTAATAGACTATGGAAGTGAGCTATGGGAATAAAAAAATCATCATGCTTCCATATAATTACACATGAGAAAAAACCAGCTTTTGCCTAATTAGTGCAGGGAACTTGGCTTCCCAAAGACATCTTCATAAATCACAGTGATCACATAAACCAGTAATATTAGTATCAGGTCCAAATTGGCCACGTTGGTATAGATCACAATTTCTGTGTGCTTTTTAGCCTGATGAGATACTAGGTTTTAGCTAATATTTGGATTAAAAAAAAATCACAGCCCTGAGTGTTACACTTTTTTTCCCTAGGAGCAGAACATATGGCTTGTGTCCTGGCTAATTTCCAATCTGAGTAATTACATACTGACCACAGAAGTTTTCCCTGAGGTATTAACTGGATAAAGCATTCCTCTCCAGTTCCTCCTGTGAACATTTATATCTTCTTGTGGAGTGCTATTAAACAGCTACTGGCCTCTGCCCCAAAGATGTCTACATTTTAGTCGTAAGTGAAATAATTTCTTCAAGTTATCACAGAATCATGGAATGCAGATCATAGACTATTTTGGGTTGGAAAGGACCATGAAGATCATCTAGTTCCAGGCTCCCTGCCATGGGCAGGGACACCTCCCACTAGACCAGGTTCTGCAAGGCCTCACCCAACCTGGTCTTGGACACCTCCAGTGATGGAGCATCCACAACTACCCTGAGCAACCTGTGCCAGTGTCTCACCACCCTCACAGTGAAGAGCTTCTTCCTAATTTCTAATCAAAATCTACCCTCTTCAGATTATAATTATATCCCTCTCCCCTCCAGATACATTTGGGAGGGACAGGGATATAATTATAATTTTAAATATAACGAGGGGCACACGGATCTGTTAACATGTGGTTTTGGGTTCCTGATTGTATCCATTAGACACAATCATCTGTATCAGGATGACGTTTTCATGCAATGAAGCATATAGAGGAAGATGGTATTTTTCCTAACAACTTCAAGTATTAAAAGACCTACCCTTAGGTTCATACAACGTATTTATTAACAAGCATTTTTTATAAGGATGTGGAACAGCCTATGAGCTCACAAAGGACTGTGTGTTGAAAAATAAAATTAATATTAGAGAAGATCTGGGCCAGATTTCTTCTCTAAAACATGGGACAACCAGACAAAGCAAAACAACAGTGTGAGTATCTCACTTTCATACTAGGGTATTACAGCTGGTTAATGCCAATAGGAGGTACTGGAGACAAGCATTAGGAAAGCCATCTTATAACGAAATACAGAACCAAACTAGGTACCTGATCAGGAAAAATTCTTTCTCCAGTCAGGACTGCAAACACTGAAATCAAGATGAAAATTACCAAAAGGGAGAAGTTATTTTGAGTGCCTTCATTTTTTATTTCCCAACCTGAAATGATCTGATTTCCAAATTTCCAAGTTACATGAACTATTAACTATAGCTAAAGTCTGCAGCATTTACTACCTGTGCAGATGCATCAGGATCACTTTGACAAATGAGGCACCTTGAAAGTCAGAAGCCCTTCTAACAATTTCCCCTGCACAAGATCTAAGTGACACTAAGCAGCAGAAATACCAGCAAGGGAGCCATTTAGACCACTCTATATTTTAACCATTTGATCAGATTTATAAACTACTTTGAAAATGACAGATACAACCGAGGTGTTCAGCTTTACTAAATAAAATTGTGCATGAGAACACATTTTTTTTCTGCAAGAGAGCTGAATTATAAGTGCTCCTATTAGCTGCCTAATCCATACATACACACACATAGAATCATAGAATCATCCAGGTTGGAAAAGACCTTTAAGATCATCAACTCCAACCATAAACCAAATCCATGTGGACATGCGTATATACATCAGTTTTAAGAGATCTTGTGTAACACACTTGCGCCTTTTTTGCTACTTTATAAAAAATTGTGGAAAAAAAAGAAGAAAAGGCTAACTTTCTGCTTTCAACCAGAAATGGCCCATTCCAAGAACATGATGAGTGGTCAGCTTTCTTCCTTTCTGCTTGACTTGCACTTCTTGTAAACATCCTTCCTCTTTGCACCCCCAAAATGATCATGTATGGCAAATGAGAAGCCTCTGCCATTTATGGTCACAGATCCATTGGGATCTGGCCCCTTGGCCCACTCTGTTTGTCAGAGCTGGTGAAGGATTCACACTGGTGGGAAGGCTGGAATGAGCAGCCCTTGCCACTGGAAATCTCAGTCAGCTGATGGGGACAACACTGGCAAGGAGCCAAAGGCTGGTGCAGTGCACACAGAAATGTGCTCAGGTTGTGGGAATGCTGTTCCCATTAATCTATCAAACCGGGTAGTTTGGGATTTGGCTCCCATCCGGTAAGGATGTCACACTATTAACTGAGAAGACTCAAATCCTCTATTTGCTGGGTTTTAATCTGGCCAAACCACCAACCAACCAAAATAAGACAAGTTTTAGAGGGAAATATAAAATTGTGTCTCTGGTGGCATCCCTTTAAGCACGCTGAAACAAAGTTCAAGCCGTTTCCTCCATCAACAGGCATAACTGGGATTAATCTCTGGCGTGCAACATTGCCATCGTGTGGCCATTCAGCCTGCGGAGACTCCAGCAGGGACAGAAGGACCTGGAACCTTGCTTGCCCTGTACTTGCAGCTTTTAAAACTGTCTTTAATAATATTTGCAACCTATACGAGAACCGGCGGGGTGGTGACAACTCTCCTGTACTATCCCTCTACAAAGTAACACACTCGCTTCTTCAGACCTGCTTTTTTTTTAGAGTCTGGTAGCAAACGCAGTTTTCATTCCCTGAGACGCCACTGCCACAGTTATGTTGCCATGCACGGTACGAGTACAACTGAACATCAGAAATGTGCAGAAACGTCAAAAACGACAAATGGAGCATTCTTGATGTCAGAAAGCCAGTCTTTAGAAGCAATCTGAATGAGAACAGAACGATGGCCTACATCAGGAAAGATCTCCAACATTGGAAAATACATGGAAGTTGGCATAGACTCAGGGCTGGAAAGCAAAGCAAATGAATCAAATTAGTAATGTAAGAAGAAAATGAAATACTGACAGAAGGCAAAGCAATGTGGAATGCAGAAGCAAGCTGTAATAATATGTGCAGATGGAAAAGCTGTATGTAGAAAAGTAGTTAACAGAATTAAACCAGATTTGGGGGTGATAAGTGGTTCAACTAGAGCAGCAGTGAGCAGAAATAATTATCTGCTTGAGTCAAAAGTTGTGCGTCTGCACAAAACTTGTGTTGTCACTCATCTGCATCCCTGCCCAAGCAAAGCAGGCGTGATTTAGCTTACTCACGAAAGGCCCCCTCTGCTTGCTTGAATCACAGCCTCAAAGAGGGGGACACACACACAAAACCTCTTAAAGAAGGACCAGCCTCGTCGTACGAGAGCAGAAGCACAACAGGAGCTTTCTGCCCATGTGGCACAATAGGCAGATACACACAGAAGCCACAATCTCAACAACCCACTCCTCTGAACAACTTCCATCTTTCGGCTATAAAAACTTTGTATCAAAACAGCATTAAAGAAACAAAGGAAATTTAATCACTTGAGATAGAAAGCAAATATTGACAGGCAGAGAACAGAAGCTTAACCACCAGTGGTGGCTGGCCATACAAAAGAAAATCCTGTTTGCATTCTCGTCTCCTAGCACTTGGCACCTGTAAACACCTGAAGGAGCCTGCCTGCCCTCACCATTACAACTGGAGCAAGGCTACCAAAAGGGAAGGTCCTACAGCTCAGCTGCCAAAACCAAGGAGGCAATAGGAACTTTCTTCACCTTGTAATTTTGAAATGAAAACCTGCGATATCACTAAAGTGGAAACTCTGAACCAACCTTAAAAAGCCAGTGAAGGAAACACGAAAAATATTTACAATTACCCTGAGCTGGAGCTGCTAAGATGGTAACTAAAGCTTTTTTCTTTGGTGGTGTTTACTTGTTTGTTTTGCCAGATTGCATAAGGCTCATCTGCTAATCAGTTCCTGAAAAGCGTGGCTGGCTTTATTATGCACTTTCTTCTGTCTAGGGTAAGAGGCAGAAGCCAGAGCAATAATTTTTACTCATGTTTTTAGCAAGAAGTCTTGTTTGTGAAAACTAAAAATGCTCCCAGGCTGTGAGAGCTTTGTTCTCTGTGTCATGGACCATGTTTCTATATGCTGCTACAAGTTTCAGTACATTTTGTAAGAGTCTATCCCCTACTAATATTGCAGTTTAAGTGGAAAATAAATTGAAGGTTTGAATTAAAATACCACTTTCCTTTTTCATTTAGGACTGTCAGCTGTGTAGAATATAAACAGGGAGAGTTCTCAACAGAACATGAATCCAGGAAAGAAAACATTTTTTCAAGAATATCTGACAAATCAAGGGACTGTGGTAAAGCCCTATTGCTGGCAGAGACAGAACCACATCTGTGCTAAGTGTCCCTACCACATACGGACTGGTGAAGAAGCAAGAGTCCCTTATGCAGAATTTCACAAGGTCTTTGGCTTCCCACACAGACCAACTGCAACTGTGGGAAACAAACACCTTCTCTTCTACGAACTGAAGAATTTCACAGGCGGAGTAGTCCAAAAAGGCCATGCTACAAACTGCACTGGCCAAGACAGCCACCCAGAGTCTATGCTGTTTGAGGCGGGTGGTTATCTGGATGCAGTTACAGATGCTTGTGACAACATCAGACAGATCAGCCTCTATTCCAATTACTCTCCTTGTAACGAGGCTTATCACTGCTGCATCAGTAAAATCTACAACTTCTTGCTGAAGCATCCAGAAGTCACGCTCGGCATCTCTTTCTCGGGGCTTTACCACGCCGAGGATGGTTTCCCCACCGCCGCGTGGAACCGCGAGGCTCTGCGGAGCCTCTCCAGCCTGTGGCCCCGGGTGACTCTGCAGCGGCTGCCGCCGGGGGCGCGGCCTTACCTCCTCTGCAACTTCGTGTACGGCACTCCAGGGTCAACCCTGGCTCACCCAGCTCCACCAGCAGGCACCTCAGGAGACCAACAAAATCCGCACCAAATTAACAGCCTCGGAGGACTGAAACCGTGTTTTAGGGAAGCCTTTCCACAAGCGATGCAGGGGAAGCTGGGGCAGCAAAAGTTGTCTACTCCCAGTGCAGCCCCCCAGCAACCTTTCCAAGCTATGAAAGTTCGGCTACCTCCCATATCTCAAAGCCTCTTGGTACTTTACCCAGGCATGTCTCTGCCCTTTCAGGAAGAACATCTATACCCCAGACCTAAAAATATTGTAAGGCATTTAAAAATGCCAAAGGAATAATTCAGTGAAACTCATCATTCTGAAATGTTTCTGAGTGGCAGACACCTACTCTGAAGATGATACAAATCAAAATGCTTTCAGGCTGTAAAACCAAGATCTCAGATGGCAAAAAAACCACCCCACCTCCTACAAAAGCTAACCCACAGAATAACTGTGGGTCTCAAACAACTGACTATGAAGATAACATGCTTTTGTTTTGGTCCTATAGCTTTCAAACATAAACCCATAGCAGTAAAACCAAAACCTCAGTAACTTCTAATTACCTCCTGTCACCAATTTATTTGTTGCCCTTAAGTCAGTTTCTACCAGAAAAATGTAAACAGTCCACAAGCTACAACCACAGCTACACCAGGATTGTAGCTTCCCAGCTGAGGAAACTCTGGTGGAACACGTGACATATCCTAAACTCCTTCTCTGTCAGAAGGTGGTTTTGCAGGTAAGGCTGATACATGAATAAAGTTTTCCCACAAGCTGTTTCCTTAATAATAAGAGGGTTTATGTATATATGTATATGTGTGGGGGTACTTTTTTCTTTTTGTAGGGCTGCGGCCTTCCATTAAGAGGAACATCACAAAACTGTGTAATTTTTTTGATTAGGAAGATAATATCTAACATAATATCTCTATCTAGTACAATATCTAATGTAATATCTAATAAGATAATATAGATCACACAGATCCATGGAGTCCAAGCATAATGTGAAAAAGAAAAATACTTCCTGTCATTTATAGCAATGTTTTCACTTTGTGATTCCATATAGAATGGTTTGGGTTGGAAGGGACCTTTCAAGCTCATCTAGTCCAACCCCCCTGCAGTGAGCAGGGACATCTACAACTACAGCAGGTTGCTCAGAGCCCCGTCCAACCTCACCTGGAATGGTTCCAGGGATGGGTCATCTACCACCTCTCTGGGCAACTTGGGACTGGGTCTCACCACCCCCAGTGCAAATATTGCGTTCTTCTATCTAGTCTAAATTTCCCCTCTTTTAATTTAAACCCATCACCCCTTGTCCTGTGGCAAAAGGCCCTGCTAAAAAGACTGTCTCCATCTTTCTTATAGGCCCCCTTCAAGTACTGAAAGGTTGCAAGAAGATCCCCCTGGATGTTTCTCTTCTCCAGGCTGAACAACCCCAACTGTCTCAGCCCAGCCTCACAGTTCCAGGTCTCTGATCATTTTTTGTGGCCTTGCGTATATTTGTTACAATACTAAAAGTCTTAAAAGTATGGGATAATTGAAATCAAGAATATGTTGTTTCCCAGCAAACAGGGGTTCCTTCCTGGGCAACGTCAATTCTGACTGGCTAATTTTGTAGAAGCTAGTGCTCTACTTCCTATTTACTCTTTTTGTGGTCATAGACATTGTTTATTTGAGGAAAAAAAGAGGCTGCTTCCCATTGTGGCCTTAAACACCTTTTGCCTCAGCAGAGGTGATCCCACTTGGAAACGTCAATGCTTTTCTGAGCCTCTTATAGGCAGAAATGTACTAGAATCCACCAGATCCCTTACTTTTACAACACCTGGGTGCTTTTTGAGAAAAGCATTCTTGAATTAGATTATACTTACTCTGTACTTTTGGATAAAATCATAGAATTGTTTTGGCTGGAAGAGACCTTTAAGATGATCAAGTCCAACCATTAACCCAGCACTGCCAGGGCACCACTAAACCATGTCTCTCAGCACCACATGTACACAGCTTTTAAACTCATCCAGTGATAGTGATTCAACCACTTCCCTTGGAAGCCTGGTCCAGAGCTGGACAACCCTTTTGGGGGAAAAATGCCCAACCTAAGCCTCCCCTGACATATCTTGAGCCGTTTCCTATTGCTAAAATGTTGACTAACATGACCCCAAGAAGCCATCCGTGCTGTAGTACCGGGGCGGTTACTTTCTTTCGCCAGGAAACATGAAACCGACGGGGATTTTTTAAGGCTTGTAGCAGTAAGGTGATGTTTGGGCTTCCAGATCCAGAGCCAAACCCTGAACACCGACCACGGGCTGCAGCCTACATCGGCACTACGCCGGGTGACCCACACTTGGTGACCCACACTCGGTGCCCCGGGCCAGGACGGCGGGGCGCCGCTTGGCTCGTACCCGTCCGAACGCACGACCAAACGGGATCCCGCACGGCATCGCGTCCCGTCCGCGGATCCACAGGGAGAGCTCGCTGCGGGCCGGCCGGCAGAGGGCGC